CTGGACGCTTTCATAATACTCGCCCAAGTGAAAGAACTTCCCTGACAAGAGTGGAAAAGGTTCAAATCTTCCCTCTTCCTCCCGTACTTAGCCCTCATAACCTGGGTCCAGAGGGACTCCTTCTCCTGGAGAATGCGCCACCCACCTTTGGCAAGGAGGGCCAGGTTAGCTTTGCGAAGAGGTCGAAGGCCTCCTCCTCCTTGCTTCCTTGGTTCTGTGAGTTTGTCCCACGCCACCAGATGCATTTTCCCTTGATTCTCTTCTTTGCCCCAGATGAAATCCCTGTTAATCTTATCAATCGAATTGCAAACATTCACAGGAATCATCTCAGTTTGCATAGTATAAGTAGGAATAGCAAGGGAAACCGAACGAGCAACCGTCAGTCGCGCCGCCAGCGATAGCCGTCTGGCTTTCCATGGAGCTAGCTTCCTCCGAATCCTCAAGATGAGCTCCTGGTATCTACTCCTGGTGACTCTGCCATGAATGGTCTGAATTCCCAAGTATCTCCCCAGCTCTTTCGCCAACGGAATAGCAGCTTTATCACTAAGGCGTTGGGCTCTGGCTTGGCAGATATTAGGCGAGACATACATGATAGATTTAGTGTAATTGACTTTCTGCCCGGAGCTCTCACAGAACTCATCTAAACACTGGCGAATGATCTTAACTTGTCTTCCCTCAGCTCCTGCAAAAAGCACCAGGTCATCTGCAAAGAAAAGATGAGTTAGAGCCGGCCCGCCCTGCGAAATGCTAAGGGGTTTCCATTGCTTTTCGCGGACTGCCTGATCAATTCTATGAGATAAACGTTCCATGCAGAGAACAAAAAGATAAGGAGAAAGAGGGTCTCCCTGTCGCACTCCCCTAGAGGGGGTAATGGATTGAGAAAGCTTGCCGTCCCAAAGTATGCGCATCCTATTTTGTTCAACGCAATACATGATACAGCGGATCCACGAACTTGGCAACCCCACCTCCACCAGAGTATCTCTCAGAAAATCCCAGCGGAGCCTGTCGTACGCTTTCTCCAAGTCGATCTTGACAACCATCCCACCCTTCCTTCCCTTCTTCTTCCGCAACGAATGAAGAACCTCTTGGACAATGATAATGTTATCCGAAGTCTGACGGCCAGGGATGAAGCTACTTTGCCTCGGCGAGACCAGCTTATTCATAATTGATTTCAAACGACTCGTCATAGCCTTGGTGATAGCTTTCAAGCTCACATTATTTAGGGAAATGGGGCGAAGCTGACTCACAAATTCTGGCTTTTCTACTTTGGGAATGAGGACAACCGTCGAGTCTGACACGGCTTCTGGAAGCGTCCCATTCTCAAAGAAAGCAATAGCCATGTCTGCGAGTGCTTTACCAACCACTGCCCAACCCCGTTGGTAGAAAGCAGCTTGGAATCCATCCGGTCCGGGCGCCTGCAAAGCCTTCATGTCAAAAATAGCTTGATGAATGTCCCTGATCGTGAAAGGACGAAGAAGCCACATCCAATCCTCCTGGCCAAGGTGCGGAAACACCCCTTTGGGCATCAGATCTGCATACTGATTTGAATCCTGCAAATACAGCTTAGAGTAGAAATCAAAAACCATATCAGCAAGCTCCTGCTTCTCAAAAACCCATTCGCCATTCTCATTTCTCAGACATTCAATTTTGTTAGATCGGCGCCTGAGCTTGGTGAGCTGATGAAAGTAAGCCGTATTTCTTTCTCCAAACTTGACCCAGCTTTCCCGAGATCTTTGGAACCAAAAGAGTTCTTCTTGCTCCAGGGTCCTGTCAAGTTCCGCTTCTAGCTTGGAGTGCAGCTTAGCCAGGCCAGGATCGAAAGTGTAAGCTAGCCTTTTCTCGATGCCCTCGAGTCTCGCCACCAGCCTTTTTTTCCGTTGAAACACGCTGCCAAAAACGTTCTTGTTCCACGACTTCAACCTGTCCGACAAAACCTGCAGGGCAGCAGGGAAGTTAGCTTGATCATTCCAATTATCATTAAGAAAGTCACTAAATTCCGGATGAGTAAGCCAAGCTGCTTCGAACTTAAAGTAATTAGAAGAGTTATGGTGGACTCCCTGGTTTGCCACATTGGTCAAGATCGGATTATGATCCGAACTAATCCGGGCTAGGTGAAGAACAGTCGTGTTGGGAAAGAATTCGTTCCACTCGAGGTTGCAGAGACTTCGGTCGAGCCTGCTAGCCTTAAACGTCTGATTCTGGTTGCCCCTGCTCCAAGTATATTTTGCACCAGAGAATCCCAAATCCACTAATTCAGCTTCATTCAACCAATCCCCAAATCGTTTGCAACGACTCAGAGTTCTAGGCGAAGGCACTCCTGACTTCTCGGCTGGGGAGAGGATGGCATTAAAATCGCCGGTGAGGATCCACGGGCAGGAAATAGCTTTGCTTTGCTCAATGAGATTGTGCCACAAGTGGCGTTGGAGCTGCTGGCGGGGCGACGCATAAACTGCCGTCAACTTCCAGCTACGCGTGGCACCTGCAGTGATCGAGAGAGTAAGATGTTGAGGACCAGCCGAGTCCACCTCCACATTCCATTTCTGGCTGTTCCAGAAGAACCAGATACCACCACTTCTCCCGGTAGCCTCCACTCGCAGAACATCCGGGTATCCCAACCTCTCACAGACCTTGTTGGCCACCTCGCCGCTGACCTGAGGTTCAAGAAGAATTACGAAATCAGGCTTGTGGAGCTGGAGCGCTAGCTTCAAAGATCGAGAGAAAGCAGCACTACCCGCTCCACCCACATTCCATGAAAAAATTTTAAAATCAAAGTTGTAAGAAACAGACATTAAAGGGGATAAAAAGAGATAGAACAGGGGGAGAAAAGCTCGGCGCCAGCAGCGAAGACGACTGCAATCATCCGGACGGGCGATCAGTGGCCTCCGCTGTCCCTGTGGCCTCTGTGGTCATCGTTTCCTCTCGGGCAGGGGTGACTAAATTCGAACCCCCATCACCCCCCGCCCTTGCCATCTCCGTCCAATCCTGAATCTGCTTCAAGGTGAGGGAGACTCTTCTATCTCTACTCCTTCCCTTCCTTTCCTTGATTGGTGTCCAAATCTGTAGCGGTTTCCCTGGGTTGTGGCGGATTGGGGTCCCTTTCTTAGGAGTGAGCATCCCTTTGTTTCGCTCCTTCTTTCCCCCACTCTTCTTCTTCGTTCGCGCGACTGCCGATGGAGCTTCCGGGTCGACGACCCGTGGCGGAGGTGGTGTGTAGGGCTGGGCTTCCACGACCCGGATTCTAGTTCCATTATTCTCGGCAACAGTCTGGGTAGCCACAGTAACATTTCCAATGGGCTTAAGCTGCTCGGCCCTTTTCTCCTTAGTGGCCTTTATCAAGGGAGATACCTGAATGAAACTCTGGCTGTCCTCTCCCATGGGCCTACTGGACGAGGCCTCCATCGGATGCGGCCCAAGAAGGCCTTCGCCCAACTTCGGATTGTGATCCACAACCTTACCCTTCCCCTTGTTATCTCCCTTACCATTCTTTCCATTGTTCTTGCCCTTTTTGTCCGCCTCCAGTTTGTTCCCAGCAGAGACCCGTTGCGTTGGCTGAAACCTTGAATTATTTTGGGGATATGACTTTCCCATGGAAAGTGCTTCTTTCCTTTCCTCAATTCTAAGAGAGCCGTTGCTAGTTTCCATCTCTGCCTCCAACTTTCCATGTTTGATCTGTTCTCCTTGGTTCCGCCGCGATTTTCGCGTGACCACCATCCACGGGCCGTATCCCGCGTTCGATTCCGCCTTCGTGTCGCCGGTCGGAGCATCCCCTGCCGGCACGGCCACCGTCTTTCCTTCCTCCCCTTGTCGCCGATCAAGATCGGGGCAAGATAGGTTAGTGTGACCCACCCTGCCACACTCAAAGCACACCATAGGCAGATTTTCATACTCTACCCTCTGCCAATACCCATCTAATCTGATTCTGGGGACCAAAGGTTTTGAGAGATCCACTTCTACCGCCATTCGCGCAAACTTGGCTCGTTGTTGATTTTGCGTATGAAAGTCAAGCTTGATGGACCTCCCAATAAGATTTCCGAGGGTGAAAAGAAGCTCCTTGTGATAAAAATGCACTGGTAGACCTGGAAACTGTATCCAGACGACCATGGATCGCGGCAGACTGTTCATCGTTCTGAAATTCGGCGTCCACTGGTTAACCAGAAGATAGTGGTCAAAAATAACCCAAGGACCTTCAGTAAGCGCTTTGAAGTAATCCTGATCATTGCCAAGTTTAACCAGGAAGCACTCAGCATCTAAAGCAAAAATTTCCATAGCACTTGTAGGTCTCCAGAGCGCTCGGATCCTATTACACATCATTGAGTATCCAATAGATCTCCCCAGCAAGCGCACGACGAGCGTTCGCTGCCACGGTTTACTGAGTTGCGCCCTGAACTTGTCCGAGACTCTGAGTTCTGGTTCGCCCTCGTAACAACCTGTGATCAGGTCGTGTTCTCCCACCGGAATCCATTGCTGGGAAGAGGTTTTCGGAGAGCTTGTTCCGCCTGTCAGCACACCAGCATATGACACTAGCTGTCGGGACTGGGATCCATCAGAAGAAAAAGGGGGGATCTCATTCCTTCTATCCGTCTCGACATCCGGTCCATCTTTGGCGATCGCCATCTCAGCAGTCTCCGTCACTTCCATCTGCTCAACAGGTGGGTCTGACGGCACGGCGACATCGGGCTCGATCCCGGCCAAAGAAAAGCGGAGCCCCACCTTCTCATGACCGGTTCGGGGTGTGTCCCCACTGAGGTGGTGTTGTTCGTCCGGCGGCCGCCCCGTCGGGGTAGCTGCCGGCATAGAGCAAGAAGAAGATTCCGTGCAGAGCATTTTCCCTCACTTAGCTGCCTTTCTGAGAAGTCGTCACCGGTACAAGTTCAATTTGTAAATAGCATTTCTGGCTAAAAGTACACTCATTAAGAATTATGGTACAATACCGTGCCAAAACAATTCAATTCATTCTAGATCCATGCAACAATTTTCTTACCAAGAGTACACACAGTTACCCTAAATTTACCCTGTATATAGCAGTTCCATCCTCAGGGTTATTCAAATGAACATACATAGCACTCTGTCTTCCCCTGCTAACTTCAATCTTCTTTTCCTTGTTCAATTTTCATGGCTAATTACAGCATTCTCTCTCGCGAAGAATCCACGGGGGCCACCGCCGGCAGGGCTATGAAGCCCAAATCCCCCACAGCTACCGATTTACTGGAAATTCATGGGCACAGGGGCATCCTCCGATCATCGGAAAACAGGGGCACCCACTCTGTTTTCGTTCAGCTGGTGGCGGCCGTTAGCTTTCTACTGATCATCAACATTCCGGCAGACGCCGCCGCCGTTCCGGCGGTGTTCATCTTCGGAGATTCACTTGTTGATACAGGGAACAACAACTACATCGTCAGTGTCGCGAAGAGCGACTTCCCGCCTTACGGGAGAGACTTCCCCGGCGGGACAGCCACCGGAAGGTTCGGCAACGGAAGGATCTTACCTGACTTCATAGGTATCAAAAATAGATATAAATTGTACATATTGAAATCAAATTAGTCTTGATTATTACCAGTAGAAGAAAGAAAAAAAAAAACTTTCGTGATACGAGAAGATGTTTAATAAATTTCTGACTACGTCAATGTCTGCTGTCAGCAGCTGGTGAAATTTTCGGTGTCAAGAATTTGTTGCCTCCTTACAAAGATCCAACCTTGCAAATGCAAGACCTCCTCACCGGCGTCTCGTTCGGTTCCGCGGGTGCGGGTTATGACCCTCTCACCTCCACACTAACGGTAATAAAAAAAACCAACTTATAATCTCTGTAATTTCGTTTTATCTATCTTTCGTTTGTCTCGTCTCAATAACTCGCGAGCTATATATATAAAAAAAAACAATGTATCATTTCGTTACAAAATGCTACTCGAAAGTCTGCACATGTCTAGTGTATCGTGTGTGTGCGCGCGCAAATCAATCGTTTCAAGTCGATCGTAACAAAATAAATCTTATACCATTTGCTTACGAATTAACGGAATGTTTGCAGACCGCTACAAACATAAAGGATCAGCTGGAGATGTACAGAGAATACAGGAGCAAGATCAATGCAAGCGCGGGGAAAGAAAGAGCAGACGAGATCATATCCACAAGTCCACACATCATCGTGCTAGGGACCAACGACGTCGGCATCCGAATCAGGCGAGCTCAATACGACTCGAATGCGTACACTGATATGCTCGTCGGATTTGCTCTGGATGTGATCAAGGTTCGGCGATTCTTTCGTTCATTCGTATGATCCCATTCAATCAGATACAAAAAAAAAAAAAAAAAATTCATGCCCTGAAGGTGTTCGACGAAATGCCCCACACAGGAACTCTACGGGCTCGGCGCAAGGAGAATTGGGGTGGTGGGTGCGGTTCCAATAGGCTGCGTTCCGCTCCAGAGGGTAGTTTTCGGTGGCGGGTTAAACTGCTCCGAAGATTCGAATGAAGCTGCTAAGCTCTTCAACTCCAAGCTCTCTCCCGCGGTTTCTTCGCTGAATCGACAGCTTCCAGCAGGAGCGAAGATCGTCTACTTCGACATCTTCAGCCCTGTTCTGTCCCTCATACAAAACCCAGCTCCACATGGTAATAAACATATCATCTACCTGCGTTCGAGTCGGGCGTAGACGATTGTAGCAGTATGAAACGTTAGAGGTAGAGTTAAATTTGCGGATTAAACACAAAATATCCTATCGCTAACTTTTTTTTGCCTGTACGATTTTCGTTATTGCAGGGTTTGAAGAGGCTACAAGAGGTTGCTGTGGGACTGGAAACGTTGAGCTTGGGATCTTCTGTCTTGTTCCAGGTACCTGCACTGATGCCAACAAGTACGTGTTTTGGGACAGTGTCCATCCCGTCGAGAAAGCCGCCGGAATCATCGCCGGTCAGACCTTCGATCCTGCAAGTTTGAGGACACTGTTGGGTTGATTTTATTAACTAAGCTGCAACCAGTTGAGAGGAAGAAGAATAAGTTGATGATCTGAGTTCTTGTTGTTGGTATGAAGTTACTTGACGATTAATGGTTGGCTAAATAAAGCAATTTTCAGATTATAGTCGGACATATATATATATTTATATAATCGGACGGATCACGTTCGGATAGTGACAGGATCCATTCTAGTCACTCGTGTATTGAGATTCGAAATATGAGTTTTTATCTAGTTGTGTTGGTTTCGATAGGAAAATAAGTTTCTTTCTTTGCCATATCCAAATCCTTAATCCACCTATGAATTTTTTCCTCCGGCTGTGTGACATTTTGGAGCCTAAAGAGCGAAAGCAACTGTTACAAAGACGTGTGGTAACTTGTATTTAGATATCATGGTCTCAATACTAGTAACGCTTCTTCCTTTTCATCTTCTTTCTTGTCGAGGCACCCATAAAAAATTGGAGGTATCTACATAATTTATATGGAAAAATAGAGATGCCTCCTACGTTGTGGAAGTATCTACATAATTGTATAGAGTGCTACTCCAAACATCAGACTGCATTTTCCAACTGAAATGAAAACTACGACTGAAGTTAAATTCTACATCGAAAATATCCCATTGTGTTAGTTTTGTATTTGCCATGATATAAGTTTGACCAGGAACAAAGTCCATGCAACTCTCTTCCCGTTGACCACCAGACAAAGTGGAGTCGAAGGCTCGAACGTGTGTATAACTGCATATAAATATTCCCGGATCCTTTTTTCCCTTTCTTAATGCAATTCACCATTATAAAAAAAAAACTGCATATAAATATTCACCACGTTCATGTCTGTAGTTGACATTGATCAATAATACTACCAAACAAATATACGCCACCAATTAATTAATAACCACTAACACGACACCAGCTTATATCTCTCTGAATTCATACACCACTTCCATTTCCTTGCTATATATGCCAACGAATACTACTCTGTGTCCCTGCAACATTCAATCTTCTTTCTTCTCTAAAATTTCGAAACGCTCGCTCTCATGAATTTGTCGGGCATTCGTACGAGTCCGGGCAGCCTCCGACCGTCGGAACATAATGGCATTCTCTCTGTTCTTGTTCAGCTAGTGGCGGTGGGCGGCAGCCTTGTGCTACTGTTCATGAACAGTAGCACAGCAGCAGCCGGCGACGTTCCCGCCGTGTTCGCTCTTGGAGATTCTTTCGTTGATACGGGGAACAACAACTACGTCGTCACCATTGCCAAGAGCAACTTCCCGCCTTACGGGAGAGACTTCCCCGGCGAGACGCCCACCGGAAGGTTCAGCAATGGAAGGCTCATCCCTGACTTCCTAGGTATCAAATATCTCTCTTCCGTCCGTCACGACTTGATTTGAATTTTGCGACACGTTCTCGTATTTCGATTTTTTACGTTGTTTAAAAAATCAAAAACTCGAATTGATTTTTCTAAACGATGTTTTTTTTCTTTTTATGTCATTAGCTAAAACATTGGGTGTGAAGAACCTGTTGCCACCTTATAAGGATCCGACCCTGAAGCTGGAAGACCTCCGCACTGGTGTCTCATTTGGTTCCGCTGGTGCTGGTTACGACCCTCTCACCTCCGGACAAAGAGTAATGCGTAAAAGACAGATTGTTTTTTGTCTAAAAATAATTATTCTCGCCCTCCTTTAATTCATTTCATCTCAATACCTTACAAGCTAATCAAAAATAATAATAATAAGATGATGAAATTTTGCTTGCTTGTTGGATTTGAAAATGAAGATTTTGAATTTGGAAAACCTTTGGATTTATGATGAATTTATTGTATTTTGTATTTGAAAGATATCATTGTTTGTTTATTTGGTATTTGGGTGTCAAAAATTTGCCTTCCATAATGTGGTATTTGCAAATACCAACAAAGGGTCGTTTGGATGAGGAATTGTAACGGATCAATTTGACACAATTTTCTCGTTTTGAGACAATTGTACCAAATTGCCTCGTTTGCCAGCAACAAATTTGGATGGATCAATCTGTCTGAGGTATTTTGAATTGATCCGTTTTGAGTCAATTTCAATTACCTGGGGTGGGGGCAGGTAATTCGAATTGACTCGTTTTAATTGCCTCGTTTATAAAACGAGAGAATTAATCAAATTGACTCATTTCTAAATTGATTCATCCAAACGACCCCATATGAAATGTGGTATTTGAAAATACGTGGGGTCCACGGATTTGGAGCTAAAAAAAAGATCCAAATCCGTGGGGATTTGTATACCTCAACAAACAATGTTCTTTTATCAAATACATAATGTTTGGTATTTGGGTGCCAAATACAACACCCAAATCCAACAAGCAAACGACCCCTATATGTACGAGAGCCGTATACCATATTTGCACAGGTCCATCGTATCGTCCGTATGGATTAGTTCTATCTCTCGATCTCTACATAATGGAAAATGCACGCAGGGATCGATAACAATAGAGGATCAGCTGGAGATGTACAGAGAATACAAGAGCAAGATCAACGCAAGCGCGGGGACAGAAATAGCAGACAAGATCATTTCCACGAGTCCCCACTTCATCCTGCTAGGGACCAACGACATTTCCAACACAATCAGGAGAGCTCAATACGACTCCAATACGTACACCGACATACTCGTCGAGTTAGCTCTGGATGTAGTCAAGGTTCGTTCGTTCGTTCGTTCGTTCATATTCATTCAATCAGATCATTTAGATTCATGCCCTGAAAGTGTTCGACGAAATGCCCCACAGAAACTCCACGGGCTCGGCGCGAGGAGAATCGGGGTGGTGGGTGCGGCTCCAATAGGTTGCGTCCCGCTCCAGAGGATACTTGGTGGTGGGTTACTCGAGCGGCACTGCAACGAGGAGCTGAACGAAGCTGCTAAGCTCTTCAACTCCAAGCTCTCTCCGGCGATTTCAACACTGAATCAACAGCTTCCAGGAGCGAAGATCGTCTACTTCGACATCTTCACCCCTGCGCTTTCCCTCATTCAAAACCCAGCTCCGTATGGTAATGACATGAGCACAATTAGCTCTTATTCTGACACCCGTTGTTGTTGCTCTGTTTTTGGTTCCCCGGCCTTGTTTAAGAGGAGTGCTCTGTTTCTGGTTTGTAGGGATCGTGGAGGTGACGAGAGGATGCTGTGGGACGGGAACCATTGAGCTTGGGATACTCTGTGTTGTTCCAGGTACCTGCCCTGATGCCACCAAGTATCTTTTCTGGGATAGTGTTCATCCAGGGGAGAAAGCTTCACGAATCATAAGTGATGGAACCTTTGATTCTGCAAGTTTAAGCACGCTGTTAGGTTGATCTTAAAAGTGTAGAAGCAGTTGAGACTCGAGAGGGACAAGTTGATGATTTAGCCGTTGTTGTTGATGTGAATTTGATGAGTAATGATCGATTAATGCAATCGTGTGGTACATAATCGGACGAATTCATGTTCTGAGTGTATAATGATGGATTTATTGTTTCTATATCAACATATTGTGAATCTTACATGATAGAGTGAGATTGGGTTTGTTTTAATGAGATATACAACAATATCGATCAATGGTGGTTGATGTGTAAAAATTAGGATTTGCTATGGTTGAGCATAGATTTTAATTTGTGAAACTGGAAGAACATGCAAAATGATAAAAGACATCGTAATTTTTAGAGAGTCCGACTCCGAGTCGTGTTCTATTGGACTTTGGTTAAGTTCCATAAAACTTGTTGGTTTACACAACATGTGTTGATGCGACTAACTTAATTGGACGGAGTGACTGATGTAACAATCATTTTGTTTGGTAAACTTGAATATATGTGACGGTAACTTTAAGAGGTTGCTCGAATGGTAATGTGGGATGATGACATCCACCACAACCTCAATTCGAATTGGGACTAACAACCTACAAAAAAATAATATATGACTGTTTTGTTAGTGATGCATAATTAAGTGATCAAACGGCAAATGTGTAAAGAAAATAGAGGACACTAATAAAGCTCCCTTGAATAGTATGGGAGAGAGTATGATAAGAAACGTACATGAAAAATGCATCGATTCATTTGATGGTCCTCGGACCATCAATTTCGTTATATATCTATGCGCGGTTAAAATCGAATCAAATTATACCGTTCTTGATCTTATTAGCTCCCTACCATATGTTTTGCTGTCCTAGAAGTTTTTATGCTTGTTTTCATTGGTTTGTATCTAAAATGGGATTGAACAGTGAAAACAATCAAAAGCCATGAGTGAGCTATGCGAAAAAAAGAAGGTGCTATCTATGTGTGTCTTCGGTGGAGTCGCATCATTACTAGGTTTTGGAGCTTCTTCTAGATTTCGTTTCATTTCACGTCGAGTTAATACTGTTTCATTTCGTGACGTTGTAATATTATTTCATCGTTTTGATCTTATTTTTTTATTCTCCATCTTGGTGAAAGATTATCCATTTCTCCTTATCGTTTCTCACTTTTCTTTATTTCTTTCAATATTTTAGGATTATCTTGACTTTCCTCCATTTAGCTGCCTATCATAGCAAGACAGCATTGGGCATTTGGTGAACATAATCAATACGTATCATTGGCAACAATGGCATGGCATGGAACCTCAATAGGCATATCCGAATTTTGATCCCATCACCTTTCATTATCGTACTCAAGCCACTCGAATCATCGATTCTCGGGTTAGCACCGGTTAGCGATCGGACCAGGTTTGTTCGAGTCAACCATACGATTGTTGGTTAGTTGTAACTTGTAAGAAGTTTAATCTTTTGATTCTAGTTTTCAACATTCCGTGGATTTCATTCTTTTGCGAAGTTTCTCTCATTCAGCAAGCCAACAACCACCTTCGTTGGTACCACCAAACATCTGCTAGGCTCATAGACATCATTCCTACATGCAATCCATATTTCATTCGCGATGGTGAGACCCTTTCGCGATAAATCGCCATACATTAAGTTACAAAGAACTAGTAACCTAGTAGTATCATCAATAACGTAACACAACAAATTCATAATTTCGAAGTCGTCGATTCAAATTTCACTACAAACTCACTCTTAAGTGACAAATTTGTACACTCAATGAATTATGTAATACAGGACATTAACCAAAAAAAGAAGATTATTCACAACAAAATTCACTTGTCTAATTACACCACCAAATCTTCATAACAAACCAAAACTCAAAACGATCACTTCTCCCTGCGTTTTACTTATTCACGGCGAGGATCCCCAGAGAACTTCGGCGACAATGGTGGCGGCTTCGGCGTCGGAGACGCAGCCTTCCTTCACCCGCCGCAGAATCTCCGGCTTCAGAGCCCTCTTCTCCCTCTGCCGCAGCCCTTCTCCGACCTCCAACTGCACGGCGAATCTCGCCACGCAGCTCGCAAACGGGTGCCTCCCCAAAAAACCCTTCTCCTTCCTCTTCTTCTTCTTCTTCCCTTCTCCGCCGCCGTCGGAATCAGAGTCGAATTCAGAGTCAGAGTCGAACCTCTCCATCCCGATCAAATCCCCGCCCAATTCCGATCTCTGCAGCTCCACCAGCTTCTCGATCAACCCTTCTCCAAGCATCGCGTCGATGGCTTCCTTCCTCCCAAAATACCCCATTTCCAGCACGCAATCCATCGCCATAACCTTCGTCTCCTGATCTTTACAGTCCAGCAGCCGAATGATTCTTGGGATCTCGCCGCTGTACTCGATTTCGTCGACGAGCGGCGATCTGATCAATTTGATCAGAGAGCAGAGCAATCGTACCGATTTCCAGGTCCCCAACGAAACGAGCGCGTGAATCAGCGACACCATGAGGAATCCGGCGAACACGTCCTTGTTGAACCCGATGAGAGCAGTGATACAATAAGCGCAGAGCTCCCTGATCCGAATCGACCGACCCGGGTCGCAGAGGATCCGACCCAACGACCCGAATACCCTCGCCTTCAGGACCAAATCCTGCAGCTCCCGGTTGAACCCTTGAGAAATTCGATTCTCAAATTGACCCAATAGACTCGCCAGCTCTTCTTCTTCTTCTTGTTCTTCATGTCCCTCGGGAGGTGGTTCTTTCTTGAGCGACCGGGCCAGGCTCTCGACGCTCTCGCGATCGATCCAGGCCTGGATTTCGGACTCGATCGACCCGGCGACTTTCGAGATGGAATGCGTCGAAACCCGGCGAGCCAAGAAGCTGCGGATGCTGCTCCGATTAGGGGACCGGCGGTTGTAATCGTCGACGAGCGATTTGAGCTCGGCGAGACGGTGGGAGAGGGCGGAGAGGTTCGGGTCGTCGGACAGGATCCCGTCGGACTCTGTTTCGAGCTGGAGCAGGGGATTCATGGCGGCGGAGTTGGGATTCGGGTGGGATTGGAGGTCGTGTGATGCTTGTTTGAGAGCTTCCAGCACTTGGAGCACCCGGGACACTTCTTCTTTGACTGATGGGTCTTTCATCGCCGGCCGGCCGGCGGCGGTGCTCTGTTTTCGTTTCAACTGCTTGACCCAGAAAACAGAGGATGTTCTACCCAAAAAAAATAAAAAAAAAAAGGAAAACAGAGGATGAAGAGAAGTTGGATTGGAACTCTGGTGTGGGTGAAAGAAAGTTAAGGCGGGGGGATTTGGAGAAAGTTAGTTCGTTGCCGTTAACGTCCCGCCATTATTATATATACGCGAGAGAGATTCTGCGCCACTCATCTTTTTCTTGGTATGACAAATGAATCACTGTCGATGGTGGACACTTCTGGTTTATACGGTCACTGTGATTTGTTGAATTAAGCTCATGAAACGCGTAAAGATGTAACCTGGGAACATACTAGTGTCTTTCGTTAGGACCCCTTATGCACGCAGTGAAAGGTCTTGCCTTCGAGTGATTGTGATGTCAAATTTTGTTTCGTATCGTGCTATAGTAATCATCTCATGTGTCTTGTGTTCTTTCTCGTCACGACTCGTCTCCTATACTCAAAATTTTCATAACGGTGCAAAACGATGATATTCGACCAGTGTAATATGCTATCTTGACAGATGCACGTGATCGGCCGTGCTCGTGCATATATCGTAGCCATTCTCGTTACCATTAGGGATGGCAATTTCGACCTGACCCGATTTACCCGACCTGTTTGACCTGTTTTGGGGCGGGAATGGGTACCTCTCGTCGACCCGACCTGCTCTGACCCGCCCCATTCTCGACCCGTTCTGTCCTAAGTTACATGTAATCTTAATCAAATTAATTAGGATTTTCCTCTTATTACATCATATTTTAGATATAACAAAGTTGTAAATAAGTGAAAAATTCAATTTCTCAATTAATTTAACTACATTTTATCAAATTATGGTTTCTTTCTTGGTCTTTTAATTAAATAATGAATCATTCTAATTTTTTTCACATAAATTATACACCCAATGGGTCGACCTGCCCCGACCCGCGCCCCATGATAAATTACCCGACCCGGACCCGACCTGCCACGAGGCGGGTATGGGTATCGAGACACCCGCCCCGGACCTGCCCATTGCCATTCCTAGTTACCATTTGACACATGCTAAGAAAACAAGTATGCGAGTACTGTAAATATATGAATCTTCATCAATTTTGACATTCAACCTTCTGTTGTGTAATTTTGATTGCAATGATAAGGACAGAGATGTTGCAACTGCACTAAAACGTGCCTCCTTGGGTTCAATTACTTGAATAATGAATGATCCATGAGAAAAGCAAAGATTAAGATGCTGTCAAAATTAATATGAGTGATTTGCCTGGAAACAGGAGGACGTCTCAATCAGCTGGTCCTGTTTCTGCCTCTGGGGACAGAAGTCAGCAGTTGTAGGTGGTGAAATCGTGGCTGTTTCTTTTGTTTTATTGAGGGTGGCATATGATCAAATGAACTGGTTCCTAATCTACATGTTTCACATGCCATCCCCGAATGCGAATTCTAACGGAAAACACCGTGTATGAATCCAAAGCGAGAAATCAGTTGATTGACAGTTTGAGATCGTTCTCTATTGATAACAGCGCTTAACTGGTTTGTTTTCCAGTTTATCAGCAGTAGAATGAACAAATATGTAGGAAATCAGAACCATGGACTTCAGAAACTAAGATGCCATGGCAACATATCCTAAATTTTGCAACTCACATCTCAAAATCTTTCATCTTTGTAAGTTCCAACTGCAAATTCTCTAGTGATGTAAAACAAAGAACAGCCAATTATGAGGCTGCTAGTCTGCTACTACTACTACTTCTTGCCACCCTTCTTAAGAGTCTTAGTCTTACCCCCTTTGCCGTCGCTGCCTCTGAACTTCCTCCTTCGCGTGAGAGCAAACTCCCCGAACTTGTGTCCTACCTTGGCCTCGGTGATCTTGCAACGAACGAACGACTTCCCATTGTATATCCTGACGGTGGAGTTTAGGAACTCAGGCAGTATGACCGACCTCCTCGACCAGATCTTCCTGTTGTTGAGCGGGTCTCCCTTGTTCTTCAACTTCAACAGGAAAGCATCCACGAATGGACCCTTCCACATTGCCCTCGGCATAGGGGCCTGCCATGTTCATCACAGTCTTCAAATCAATACAACTACCAGGATTTTCAAAGCAATTGGAGGAGCCAATTGGAAGCCATAGCTTAACAGGAAATCCAACTGTGTAGACTTTGTACCTGGGTTTCACTTCCTGTTGAGGAAGCTTCTGATGCTGAGGAAAACAACCTATTCATTCCATAACCCGACGAGTCTCTGCTTGATAACGAAATGGTATCAAATGAACAGCAATCAAGCTTATGCTTTCAAAACCCAACATCCCATGGATCAGCAGACAAACCCTATTATTTTATCAACATTCACATAAAGGGAATCTCAAGCAGCAACCAAACTAGCCGTTTCCTAAGCAGAAAGAAAGCTTTAAACAACGTTGTTATTAACTAACCTTAACGGCCATGAATAGGCTGGGATCCCTCTAGCTCCACCACACAAATTGGTAAATCCACGGTCGATTGAAGCGTTTCCAGCTGAATTTACAAGTTTCTGCCTTATACTTGCCCACAACATTGCGAAGGAAATGGTTGGGAGAATTACACTGAAATCAGCAATCCAAATGAGTTAGGAAACCAAAACCCCCCCAACCACAAACTTCAAAAGTTCTCTTCTTTTCAACAACAATGGCGAAAAGGAGCTCGCTCCAAACCAGGGTAGCTGCGCAAACTCATAAGTCATAAACACCAAATTCAGACCTGGGCAAGGAATCGACTGATTCCACGGCGGGAAAACCAAACGAATCCAGAGATCGATAAGAGAGTGAATATGGGAACAAACCTGTTGAAATTCTTGAGGTTTCCGCCGTCGACGGAGGATCTTCTGCTGCCGTCTTCACTCGCCGCCGCTGGATGAGCGAAAAAAAAAAACGATCTCCTTCTCCGAAGAGTTTCCTTTTCCTTCCTCACAGATGGTGAAACAGAAATTGTGGACCTTTTTGTTGGGCCAGGCCCAACCCAGGTACATGGTTGACATTCAGCTTGTTGGGCCTACAATTTTGCTGCCAAAACTCACGCATGGATGGCGTCATTGTGTTCTGCTATCGCGCACCCCACCGGGTTCAACCTGCGCCTCCGTCACGAAGCCTTCTCAACTGCAACTGTAATTCTGAAGCGATACTGACATTCTAACTACGGTGGCTCACTCTAAATAAAGATCGCTTCTTTCAATCATTTGCTTTCCCCAGCTCTCCACCACAAGCTGCTTCCTCGTCACCTTATCCGCTGGTAACGAAATGTCTCCTCTTTTGATCTCCCTCTCTCTCTCTCTCTCTCTCTCTCTCTCTCTCTACCAAACTGTGTTCTTTGCGATCCTGTTCCGTTTTCAATTTCTGGGTAGCAGCCAAAATTAAGTCAAGATTGACCTTAACTAGCACATTATTGATCCATGGTTCTTCTGGAATTAGAAAGCATTGAACTTGACCTTTGTTCGAATTCCTTGTGATTTGAGTTACTGCTTTGATTCATCCGTCTCCAAGTTTGGAAGGAATTACTGCTTTGATCCATTGTTCTTTCTCGAATTAGAAAGCATTGAACTTGACCCTTGTTCGAATTCGTTGTGATTTGAGTTACTGCAGTTGGTAGGAAGGGTTTGTGTCGAAAGTCAAAAGATGAAGCAGTTGTGGGTTCGGCTTGTTGCCGCGCTCTTTCTGTTCTTGAGTTGTTTGAGCAATGGGAATGCGAAGATGACGAGTACCTTTGTCCGTTCCGAGTGGCCATCGACTGATATCCCTCTTGATAATCAAGCATTTGCAGTTCCTAAGGGTCGAAATGCACCCCAACAGGTAACTTGTTTGTTACTATACAACAAGTGGCTTGGAGAAGGGATTGCTTTTGCTGTACAAGTGCCAAAAATGGAGTGTTGAACTTGCTTTAATTGGGAAGACAACGCATTTTCGGTCAAGAATTCGTTATTGTCTGAGGATTTTGTTCTGACTGGCTATGAGAGGATGTACTGCATTTTTATCACAATTTTTTGTCTTTGCTTCGACAAATTGTAGGTACACATCACACAGGGTGACTATGAAGGGAAGGCTGTGATCATTTCGTGGGTTACACCTGACGAGCCTGGTTCTCTTAAAGTACAGTATGGTAAGTCAGAGAAGAAATATGACTTGACTGCTGACGGGACAGTATCAAACTATTCCTTCTACAAGTACAAATCGGGATACATTCACGAGTGCCTCCTTGATGGCCTTGAGGTAAATTCCACTTTGAACTAGTTTGAATTCATTGTGTTTTGCAGACTTGGCCTGAGTTATTTACTTCCTGATCTTTCCATGTCTGTAGTATGCTACTAAGTATTATTACAAGATCGGCGATGGTGAATCTTCTCGCGAATTCTGGTTCCAAACGCCACCAAAGATTCATCCAGATGCTCCATATAAGTTCGGAATAATTGGTAAGTCGCCACCTGTGTCGTACATATATGCATTTTCATGTGCTTCAATTTTCGCCTTACGGTTACTGAGTTATCACTCGGTTGTGCTCCCTTCTATTTATGTCTTCCAGGTGATCTTGGCCAAACGTATAACTCTCTATCTACCCTTCAACACTACATGGAGAGTGGAGCAGATGCAGTGTTATTTGTTGGTGACCTCTCTTATGCAGACAGATACCAGTACAATGATGTTGGGATTCGATGGGATACATGGGCCCGTTTTGTCGAGCAAAGCACAGCATATCAGCCATGGATGTGGTCTGCTGGAAATCACGAAATTGAGTTCATGCCATACATGGTAAACTTGTTCGTGCAATTCTCCAATTCCATAATACTGGAGATTTAAGCTTTTTCATTTGAGTAATTCTAGAACATTTTTTCCACTCCTATTTCTCAGGATGAGGTTGTTCCTTTCAAAAACTTTCTTCATCGGTACCCTACTCCTTACTTGGCTTCCAAAAGCACTAGTCCTCTTTGGTATGCCGTCAAACGTGCATCTGCTCATATCATTGTACTCTCCAGCTATTCACCTTTCGGTAACCTTTCTAACTTTGGTTCTTCTCTATGATATTTTATTAGTTGTTCTCTAATTCAATCTTTTTGATCAGTGAAATACACTCCACAATGGACGTGGCTGAAGGAAGAGCTGAAGAATGTCAACAGAGAGAAGACGCCATGGCTCATTGTTCTCATGCACGCCCCTATCTACAACAGCAATGATGCGCATTACATGGAGGGAGAAAGTATGCGTGCAGCTTTCGAGAAGTGGTTTGTTCGATACAGAGTCGATATTATCTTTGCTGGTCATGTCCACGCTTATGAAAGATCGGTAAATTAGAAGAGCTTTAACTTCTTACTAAAATAGAGTTGTGCAGCGTTTGAGAAGCTAATCCATTTCTGTCTTATATCTACCTCCAGTACCGAATATCAAACATACAATACAATGTGACAAGTGGCGCCCGATATCCTATTCCAGACAAATCTGCACCCGTCTACATTACAGTAGGGGATGGAGGGAATCAAGAAGGTCTTGCTGGAAGGTATACAACAATACATATAATCCGAAACTCTTAATGGATTCAGTAGCTAATAAGCTTTCAAACCAAGGAATAAACCATCCCATTGATGGTTTGTGCAGGTTTTTGGAACCACAGCCAGATTATTCTGCATTCAGGGAAGCCAGTTATGGGCATTCAACTTTAGAGATAATGAATAGAACACATGCATTGTACCACTGGAACCGCAATGACGATGGCAAAAAGGTGCCCACTGATGCATTTGTATTGCTCAACCAATACTGGTAAGCAAATTAGAATGGGGAATTTCGTCACCATTTCGATTGAGGAACTTGCAAATTCCTCCGGACCTTTTACATCCCAGCTGAACTTTTGTTGCATTGCTTGCAGGGGAGGCAATCTGAGACGCAGAAAACTAAATAAGCATCACTTAAGAAGTATCATCCAGCCGGTTACTACCAAGTTCTTGCTGCATTCAGAGTGATGAGGCCACACCGAATCAGCAGCCAATTGCTGAATATTATGGCAGTTTCTTCAATGTATAAAGCAAATGCATAATGCAATCCTTGTCTAGGTCATATTTGTAACAGGGATGCTGTTGGGCTGGATATATCGGTTACAACATGTCAAAAAAGGCTCTGCTTCCTATCATCTCATTCTCAATAGAGCTCTCATTATCCATCCATTGAAACAACAATCTTCTGGGTAATTCACAAAAAGAATTCTTATGTACAGCTTGTTTCCAAGCTATGAGATACACTGAGCTCTATGATCAATGGATGAGAATTTCTGAATACCGAAACTATGGGTTGTGTCGCCTGCTACTACTGGGAATCGCGGTAGATCGGTTGTGGGACCCACTTGAGGCTCAAATTCAGCCTTCCAGATTTAGCACCATCCAGTGGGAAGCATTCTCTGTACTCTCCTTCTAATATGACCCTGGTCAATGTCAAGATGCACCTCCCAATATACTCCTGCACAACAAAATGTGGAATAAGAACAGTGCTACCAAAAGTCCAAACTCGTAACAAAACACCATTCACGGCAGCTTTGAGAGAGGATGGAGTCAAACTTACCTTGCGAAATGTATCATGATCATAAACTTCAGCAATGAGCATATCATGCAGTGCATCCTCCACAACAAAGTCAAATGTTTGGTTCCACTCAGGATTCAAGTTCTCATTCACAACCTGTCGAGAAGAAAGAGTACAATGGTGAATGTGAATGTGAATCTGAATTGAACATATACAAAATAAACCCAAGCAACTGGAGAAAGCATTGGAAACTCGTCACAAATGTAATCGGAGAGAAACTTACTCTGGTTTTGTTTTTAGTATCCGACTTTTTCATGGTGAGAACAACGAAAGGATCAGCCTTGCCCATGAGATCAACCACAGGCAAATCTTCAGCAGAAATCACGGTTACAGAAAGAACTCCTCTAACAATCACCTCCCTTTTCTTCTGTGAGACTTCTCTTTCAGTTTGAGCAGCATCTGCTATCCCGTTTCCTGAACTTTTGAGCACCCTTTCCAAGGTTGTCATTTCAACTTTCTTGGCGAAGGGGTTGGTGAAGCTATTCTCCATACCATACGGACAGTAGAGAAGCTCCAAGTGCACCTAAAATCGTATCAATCACAACAAACCATAAATGTAAAATCTACCTTACCATAATTATGAACTTCAGCAAGTTTTTTGACTGCCATAACCTCACCTCCCCTCGGTATTTGGTGTCTCTTTGGACATCCAAATCCTTGACCAGCTTCAACCACACATCCTTCACTTTACCAGGCTCAAGCTCACTTAATTGAACTTGAGCGCATCCAAGTAGCTCAGAAGCTTGTAGTCCCTCATCATCATAAATCTTAACATACAAGTGTTGAGTGGATGCATCCTCAACAACAAATTCATAGTGCTCATTCCAGATTGGATTCAGATCATTGCTCTGCATGAACAAAAATATAAAAACCTTCTCCAAAGAAAGTTAAAGAAAACTATGAACTATGAAAAAAGACCAGGTATCTTACAATGATTTTACTCGTTTTTGTTCGGTCACGCAACGGCCTAATGTACAGTTCGGCATAGGGATCTGATTTGCCGATGAAGTCTTTATTTGTTAAGTCTTTGGCCTGCACCAGTTTCACTTCTAGTGTACCAGATGGCTTCAACTCCAAGTCACTGAACATAGGAAAAGGAAGGTTTCCCCAATGATGAATCGTGAAGACGGGAATAGCTAGGCAAACATATAGGGGTCGTTTGGTTTTGGTGATTGTTTGGTTGAGATAGTTACAATGCATGTATTGTCCACAATGCATCGTTTTTTTGAATTTTTTGCACCAAATGTTGAGTATCCTAATACATTCAACCAAATATTACTCCTACAATATTAGATCTACCTGAACAGAATCTAAACTAAAGTATGATTCGATTCATGGGTCTAGATCAATCTATAGAAGCAAATATAACATGTATATCATAGATTGCCACACCTGTAATCCCCTGGCAAGATAGGGACAATTTTCCGCACCGGCCAGGTAATGGAGTCTTCAATAGCATTGTGTATTGTATCCTGTACACAGTTAGGAAGTGGCTTTGTGATTAACATTAGCATAAGTTTCATGGCACAAGAAGAGTTCAAAAAAAATTAATTACGAACCTCCAGAGCACCCGAGAGTCCAGGAATAGATGTTATGTCACCTCCAATTACTTTAAGCTTAAAGTCAAACTTTTTCTGCACAACCAAAAAATGCTCTTTAAGAACATTATAATCTCTACATCAGAAGTTGTCAAAACTAGAAAGACAAGATACTGAACCTTTTGTCTCAATGAATAACAAACAGCTCCAAAGCAAGGAAGCTCTTCAACCAGCGGTCTGAAGATCAACCTGAAGACCCCAGTAAATCCAATATCTTTGACCTGCGTAGAAGATATGAAATACAAAAGAAAAAAAGATCGTAAAAAATGGAATTCCACAGATGAAGCTAACTTCCTTCACATTACAACAACCGTCAACATATTTGCAGTGGAAAAAGGATGCAAACAGCTTGATCTCGGATATCAGTCATCTTGGATAATTCAACATTGTGGTCTATAATTCCTTGAAATGGTTGACATTGCAATTCTTTGAGTAGTAATAATAATAAGTACCTGGACAGGCAATGAAACACCCAGCCTGGTCTTCACATCAAGTACTATGTTTGGATTGCCATCCCAGTTCATTTCCAACTCCATAGTAATACCACTGCTATCAGATTCCAAAATAGATACTCCTGGAAAATGACACAATGGCATTGCTTTCATAAGGACGTTTGGACTACCAAAGTTAAACAATCTTTCGCAACAATTAACCAAATCATTGAACGTGCAGTTAGAGAACCACACTCTTCCACGACATTTCCGAGAAACGGAATCTTAATCAGCTAAAGGTACCCTATTGGAACACAATCCTATACTGTGAATCTACAACGATCGAAGTTTCACTAATCATTTAAGAAGAGCAAGAAGAGGACCAACCTGTGAACTGAGGGGCAACTGTACCAAGAGTGAACTTGGAGAACTTGAGAGATGACAGAATTATGGGTCTGTATTGCTCAAGAGTCGGCTCAACTGAGCTCTTTATCAGCTCAGACGCTGCCTACAATGCGGCAAGATTTCCAAGAAACAACATTTCAACTTCCCGCATCAAACCACGATTTCTCAAACATTCGTCAAGATTCGAGCTTAACCAATAAGAAATTGAAGTTACAAACCTCGTTAACATAAGGCCAGATCTTCGTCAGATGAGAATTAAGCCAATTCAACTGTGCAATACACACACAAACAAAAACAAAAAAAACCCCAAGAAATCAGGAAACCCAGCAGAGACCATTTTTTTTACAGAAACACACAGATCAAATAACAACTTCTAACCTTCTGGCGCTGAGAGAAGACGACCCAAGAAGGGTAATACTCAGGAGCTAACAGATGTCTAGAATCCTCGACCGTCATTCTCGCAAAAGCCGCCACCGTCGCCGCCTGCACCCCAGAAAAAGAAATTGGACACCCCACATCATGAAATTGCCAAAGTTCAAAACTTTCCCGTCCATCCAGTGAAGTAAAACGAAAGTCAATGAACCAAGGCACTAACGAGGTCAGTTCGAAGCTTGGATCGCGCATTCTCGGAGCGGACAAAGACGACGATCAGAGCAAGACCGACGACTATCCCGACGACTAAGCCAACAAAGAAGGACATTTCTTCCAGCTGGGTTCAGCTGGAAGCAGAGGAAAGAAGAGGTGCAGCGGGAAAACAGAGGATTAAGAAGAAGAAGAAGAGTAGATGAAGTGAAACAGTAACGGGTTTTCCGGGGAAACGGACTGGGAAAGGAAGTTTTTTGGATGGTGGGTCAGATGGGGAATTGATTAATGGGAAAGTTGGAACAAGAAGAAATGGGAAAATTCGACGTTGGAATCGAAGATTTGTGTGGGGGAGTGAGGGACGTGGCTCTCTCTGCTCTGCTCGCGAATGAACTAACAAGTTATAAACACACACGCGGTTTGGAAGGGCCAGATGTGAGGGAAACGAAAGGGTGAGAGAAGACTGGTCGGCGGTCAGGGTCGCCGTCGCTGCCGACAATGAAGGCGACCTTTCCGATTTTCTTTTCTTGGCCGATCGGCGTCAAACTCTTTTCTTTCGGGAGCTTGGAATCTGTCTTTATTTATTCCTTTTTCTGTGCCTTTTGGGAGAATAATTTCCCACTTTTTATTCAACGAAAAAGATAATAATTTTAACCATTTTTCATAAGCATCTTTATTTTTTTTACTAATGATCAATAAAATTCATTATTATTTCTTTACTGTCCTTCATAATTATAATTATTATGAAAATTGGTGGTGGTGGTTAGATAAGTTACTCATTCCTCTATTGACGAGGTTTGTGAAAACATATATGGGGTCGTTTGGAAGTTGCGATAGTTTTGTTGAGATTGTCATTATGCATGTATTGTTTACAATGCATCGTTTTTTTGTTTTTTTAGCAGAAACAATACATGGATTGTTTCTGTGATGTGACAGAAACTATCACTCATTTCGAGTGATTGTTATATCTCAACTTTTAGTTGTGATTGTTGAGATAGTTGAGTTGAGATTGTTTTGTCTCAGCTTTTAGCTGATGCGACATACACAATCACACATACCAAACGTTGTATTATACAATGCATCAAATTCGACAATACATGTATAATATTATATATGCATTCTCAACAATACATCTATTTAACAATCGCAACTTCCAAACGACCCCATAATTACATGAATAACATAACAAAAAAGAGTAATTTTCCACGGCATACAAGCTACAGAAATCGAGGGGTAATATTAGTATTCAACAAATAGTATATCAATGTATTGGTTATTACAATAAAACAAGGAAGGTGATACGATACAGATCAAGAACGGCAAAACTTAGTAATGTTTACGACCCTTAATATGAATCATACAACTCCCCTACAATAATATCAAGGGATGATATGATTCATATCAGAGGCCGTAAGACGCGAATTGTATTAATTTGTACCATAAGTCCATTACTCATTGCATAAGATAACAAACCCTACCAATATCTTCATACAAAGAAAAGAAATGAAACTTATTAAATGAATTCCGAGTCTCACAATAGTCGTAGGTCGCTTCCCTTCTTCGTTGACTCTGCCCCACAGCTAGAGGCAGAGTGACTCTATACTCTCCTGCTCCTTCTCAACTTTGTCGCCGTCCGGTTGTGCCTTTCCTCTCAGTTTTCAAAACCCCCGATGA